CACTGCCTGTGCAATTTTGGCATACTAGTATGCCTAAGATTCATAATTATTTTGGCTGCCCCTCACAAGACCTTGGATACATTAAGAACTTCACCTCAGACCCTCCAAATTCAAACAAAACAAACTTCATCTTYGAAGCCAGACTTTCTGCATAGATCTATCAGTGGGAACCATAGGCTCTAAGGCAGCAGAGCTTGTACACATGACTGAGTATCAGTATTTGGCTGAAAGGTGCCCCAGAAAGCATTTTTTTCCACTAAGATCAACTATGACAACAGGTAATGCTTTCAGTTTCATTTATTTCTGCATATTTTAAAGGCCAAGAAGCAGAAAAAGTAATATTTTTATAAATTTTCTACTGTATACATGACATAACATCTTGATGGCTTCTTTGATTCAAACTCTGATCTGGTGCACCTGATGCCTAATGCTGTACATTCTTTGTGGTGACAAACACCTTTAACTACATGGAGAAAACACAGTTAATTAAACAATTAATTCTTCTGTCGGGAATTGCTGACTATTAGATTATTACTCCTTCATGTTGCATCTAATTTAAAACAGGAACTACTTTTAAGAAGCCAGGTGAAATATCCACMAACCACAAAGTACTGGCCCCATGAAGTGGTGGAAAAGTTCCAAGTACTCCCTGGTCTGACAGTCACGGCTGTGCAATAAGGCACAGGTTACAAAGCCTCATTGGCTTTGTTCTCAGGAACCATGACAAATTCCTTGTCTTTGCCGATTAATGATCCAAGAGTAATGTTTAACACTCACTACAGAACTGTTTATAAGCACTAAATAAGGAGAAACCAACTCTTCCTTGCACTCTTAAAGGATTGTACAGATTCACACACTAAACCCACAGAATATTTTAGGTGGCTCCTCACCAAAGCGGTGCTTCCAGCCCTCACACTCTTAACAGAAGAGTGGAATTTCTGTACTTCAAACTCACACAACTTATTTTGATGAGAGCAGGTTAGTAGGCTTAATGCCATGGGGAGTAAGAGGCCTTGCTGGATCCACACCACTGTCTCTTCTAAATTACATTTTTTTAATCTAACTGTTCAGTAAACACAGAACTCACCCAAGGCACAGCCGGGTGCTAAGTCCCAGTGCAATGTACAGAGAAACATTTGGACAGAGAACCTGAAATTGAAAATAGAATTGGTAGTTTCACTTTCTTCYGAGTAGCCATATCAGGTTCCCACGATGGAACAGATTTGGAAAAGAAACAAGCAGGAAACCGAATTGATAATTGTTATTTCCTTTACCTAGCGCACATTTAACCAGCTGCATCACAAATGAAGGTTTGTGATTGATTCAAGGATTCAAGGTGAAAAACTTTTKATTGTGAGGATTCAAGGTGAAAAACTTTYGGAACAAGTTTCTAAGGTCTCCCAGACAATCTTCTCAGCTGTCCCAGAACATGTGTCAACTGCAAAGGAAACTCATATCCACTTTCCTCCATCTATGTCTTAAAAAATTTTGTTATAACATTGTCCACTAGGTTCCCRTTTCTGTGTTTTGCCATCTGGATCTCATCTTTATAAATACAAGTTACTTTCACCCACTTGGCTCACTTCATCTGTAGAAACTTGTTAAATGGCTTTAAAGATGATTTGCTAAAAAAGCAGTGAAAGATCTAACACGAGAAGAGATTAATTTAAGTAGAGAACTTCTTGCTTTAATGTCAAAATTAYGTTACCAATGACTTCTGGCTTCCCACATTGCTCAGCCAACTTCTGCCTTATTCATATTCCCCCTCTGGCTTTATATATTTGTACAAGCACATTAATTACTCAGAAAGAATTCAGAAAGCAATGATCTAGTCACAAATTTCAAACATCTGAAATACAAATATGTAGTGTCAGAAAAGTAGAAAGAAAAATTCCARCACTAGTGCCTTGTTTCTGAAGCAGTATGGAACACACTGAGCCCAAGAGTTAAAGATTTTATTAAACTAGCTTTCCTTTGCTTACTGACTTGTGTGTTTCACCAAAACAGTATCAGGCTCCAAGAAAATAATAGCAATCTGAATGAATTTACTCAGTCAGTTATTCCAGTTATAATTTTAAATGTTATTAAAAGTTTGTACTTYAAAGCCAAACTCTTATCTAACTTTGAAAAGAAAGAAAAAAATATCTCAGAAGGGTTACAGTAAAAACATAAACCAGTACTGCCAACAAATTGCTCCTGCCTCTTCTGGAGCAGGACAGAGCCTCCCTCTCTCTAGTTTATGTTCTCATACCTTCAGTAGCCCAAGTAGTACAGATCCAGACTTTCAGGCTTGGGGCTTAAATTTTGCAATCTCTTCCTCTATCAAAATGCTGCTCATGACTGTACCTTTAAACATGAACAAAAATAGGACAAAGCTCGTGTACAAAGGAAAAAATACAAAAAAAAAAGGAAAGTGCCTCAAGTTTTTTCCWTCTAAGAGTGAAAGGTATCTTTCTCCTTAACATTTTCTGTATGATCAGGAGTGAAATACTAGGGATGAATGAGAAAGGTTGCATTCTTTTTCATTCTCTTCATCTGAATCTAAATTCAGCTGGTAAGACACACCAGTTCAGGGCTCTGTATGCCCTGGCACCTGCTACAGGAACTCTGTCCCACCAACATTWAGTCAAAAGAGAAGTCTTTTAATTCTTAAAGACCCTAAGAAGCACTTTACTCAGAAATCAGCAGGCAGGTCCTGGAGTTGCAGTGCCATATGCATTGCAGAGATGCCCTTTTGGAAAACAAACCCTTACCTTATTTCCAGTATCAAATTAAAACCGGATTTTTTTAAATGTGGTCAAAAAGGGCCAGGTCAAAAAAAGAGGCCAGTCAGTCAAAAAGCTGTCTGAATTACTTCTGAAACATGCTGTCAAGCAGCTGGGCTAATTTGGACTATTAAGGTTTTCATTTGACTTGAGATCTAACAGCAGGCCCACTGTCTTCAAGGACTAATATTGCCTCTGGCTGCTTCTCAATACCAACCAGCAACCCAAATTTTTCTGGGCTAAACTTCAATCTGTTTGTCCAGTATGAACTTGGCACCATCTGGGACAGAGCCACACCATCCTCAGMAAAAGGGACAGGCAAGTCACAATGTCCTCACTACCTGCAGACTGAAGGAAAACAATATTGAGTTCTGCAACAACCCAAAAGAGACTCAAACCCTCTGAGATTTGGGACTCCATTACAGCATATACTTAATCGGTTTCCAGTCTTATGTCACAATACATCTCCTGAGTAGCTGGCATTTCACTCACAAGCCAAGAAGRTGGAAGAAAATAGATGCAAACTGGGGACTTACTGTTTTCTAAGGATGTAATGACATTTGTAATTGCTTCTCAACCTGTATCAACGGAATGAAGCCAAACTCTGTATCCACTTTATTTGCAATCATTGACACTGCAAAAACAATCAGAAGAACTGGGTTTGGCTTGGTAATATTTTATATTCCCTCCATGATATTCCTTCAACTTTTTATGCTTTTCTCTGATCTTGTTAAAAGCCACCATCCAGAAGCCTGCCACTTACCCATCTGAATGCACTTGTCACCAAAATGAATTGCCACCTTGCATTAATGGTTCAAAGAGCTCCCTGATAGGAGCTCAGGAAGAGCAGAAAATGGGGCAAAACTCAAAGTGGTGTATTATCCCTAAAATGCAGCTACTTCACTTGTCAAGGATTGCAATTACAGTTGGGCCAAGGCAATGTTAGCTCAGCTGCCTCTGAACACACCTGTTTCAATTTAATTTGCAGTAATTAGGAAGCCTAGGGCACCAGGAAAAACTGCTGTTCRCTTACTGTTTCAAATAGCTGAGTTTTCATGTGCCATTTAAAATGCTGTTTTTCAGAACAGACTGCTGACTTGCTAATGCTAGGAAAATGAAATAAAGCAAAATATTTTTAGCAGCAGGAAGTTGTTACTTGCTACTGCCAATTACATGCCTTGTACTTGAACAGTGACATTTTTTTCCCCTTCGCTTACTCCTCAAGATAGGTAAAAGCTGGCTGAGGTCTGAGGGCATGAGGATTCAAATAAAACTTAGTCCTTGGGAGCTGGCTGATACTTCTGGAGTTCTAGTCAGTACTGGCAGCAATGTGCTGTGACAGAGCAAACAACAGTGTCCCAGATCCACTCCTCAAAAACGGGAAAAAGAGAGGATTAAGCAAGAGACTTGGATCTATYGGCTTTGGCAAAAGCCTGAATACCTTGTCATGCTAAAAACATTACTGAAATTGGGGGAGTATAAAATGGGACAGAGAGGGGAGAAATAAAAAAAGCATTACAATTACATAAGAATAGATATTTATACTCTGAGTTAATTTATCAAACTRACAAAGAGAGATGAATCATCTACCATTAAAATAATAACATACAAGTTTTCTTTATATCACAATCATTATTTACAACTTTTAAATATTCACGGATGAGTCAAATATCCTCATCTTTTAATTTAAAATGTGGTCTTGCAGGCCAAAAGAAAACTCTTGGCAAAAATAAGTTTCTACGGGAACAGGGCCCAAAGAATGATTTCTTCAAGAACAGGATAGATCTTAGCAACCATGATGGCACTTCTTTCTTTTAAAATCTACCCTACAAACCACAGAGGGCTCAATAAACTCACACAAAACTAGATTTCTGAGTAACAAAACAATGCGATWGGGCAATAACAAAGGCCTGTGGTAYAGCTAGACACAGCTACTTAGGACTTCTTAAAATGGAATACAAACCYGATTTAATTTGAGGTGACATTAAACAACTCTGTTTTGAGGCAGGTTCATTCCCACATGCTGAGAATTCAAYTGAAGCCTACACAGTTCCTCTCACTGAACTAATTTGACTATATGCATGCATTTCTACAAGTAAAATGGCATTATTTTAGTAATTGGTCTTTTTGTTGCTGTAATGCCATTAGAAATGACCATACCACTGTGTATTTTTCCATCCTGGAACACCTCCCTGCCCAACCCCCCCACCTCCCCCAAAAAATTTTTTTTTGAGATGTAGACCAATGCTTCCGGAATGCTGCTTTGATTATTTTTAATAGTTTTAATATTATCAGTCACTATTTTTTGTAGACTGATGTGGATGTGTGGTCAAAAACTGGATAAGATAAAAGAAACCCACAATATAAAGTGAGGTTTAGTGGTCAGCACCTTCTTTTCACCATTTACGTGAACATTATGGAATATAAGAGCATCCACCTGAAGCTGTGCTTATATAATGGATATGGGACATCCATATATATGTCAAACATGATTTTAAAACTACAAAAATCAAAAACTAGGAGGCTGGATCTTCTTTTATTCATTTGTCTTTGATGCTTCAACAGGCAATTTCTTTACAATCCAGGATTTTAGTTTTTCTATTTCAGTTCTATTCAGCTCATGATTGAGGTTTGGAAAAGTATGAAGTGATGCTGATACTCCCAGAGACTTTAACATCTTGTTGGTCTCTTCACCCCATGAGTAGAGAACTAGTTCATCAGCAGTTCCATGGCACTGAAATAATTCTGGAAGAGCAYTTTCATTTCTTTTCAAAGCCTAGAAGGAAAGGAGACACTTTCAGACATATTGCCAAAATTTTTTAAAGGATGTTTACAACTACATGGTAACAACTTACATAGCAYTGCATTTACTAATCTACATTTCAGGGGTCCTACTTTACTGTCTCTATAGAAGTAAACAAAAAATACTGGAAAAAAAAACCTGCCTTTCAATCCCAATACGGTAACTCTTGACAAATGACAGGGTTTACTTTAAGATCAATACCCCTYTCCACATAYATAAAAWGGAAAAAAATCATGTCASCACATGGAGTACATGAGTATTATAATCCATCACAAATTTTCAAAGAATAGTTATACTTACACAGACYCTTTAAAAACTAAGGACAACTAGTAAAGCATGTCATTTGTTAGTCTCCTTCTACAYTTTAATAATTGTACTATCTGTGCAAAAAAGTGCACCAAAACATCATTAAAGGACAGCTTTAAAGCTTTACTTCCCTAATATTCTGATTATCTATTTTCAGGRAAGGRCGTAAGTTTARAATATGAACCAATTCCTCAGATTAATAAACATGCAYRTAGAGYTTYAATCACCACATTTTCCATGTAGCTAAGCATGTTTTCTRTAATATCTACCACATCCTTACCTGGTAAACAGCAGAGTCTTTATTGAGAAAACTAGACAAGGCAAAGACTCCTGCCAGATCCTGATGAAACCTATATGCCAAATGCATTGCCATTCCACCTCCCATCGAAAAGCCTCCTAGGATACAACAAAAGAAATAAAGATTGGATTTTTCTATGTCTTTGTAACCCAGTGTTCAATTTATTATTTTCAGATTTGTTTCTTTTGTATTTAATACAACAGAAACCTCATCTTGAGTATCATAAAGGTTACAATGATCTTAGAATCACAGAATCATTCAGGCTGGAAAAGACCTCTAAGATCATCAAGCCCAACCTATGACCCAACACCACCCTGCCAATTAGACCATGGCACCAAGTTCCACATTCACTTGTTTCTTGAACACCTCCAGGGACAGCCCATTCCAATGGGCAACATCTTTCTGTGAAGAAATTCCKTCTGATGYCCAACTTGAACCTSGTGTGGCATAGCTTGAGGTTGAAAACAAAGCACGATGCAATTAAGACATTGGATAGCTAAAGTAATGGTGAAGATTCATTACCAAGAGAGAGAGAAAAAGAAACAGCCAAAATGCCATTACTTCAGAAGCCATTTGTGCATGGTCCCTAACAGGTAGCTGAATASTGTGGCCATACATAGTCTGACATTAACAAAATAAACTATAAGAACAGGAAATTCTCACTGCTTTTTGTATTCAAGTTATTTCTCCCATAGGCTAGCAGCATTCACACATGTAAGATCTCTGTCACCGTTGGACACAATCAATGAGGATTCAAATTAAACTAGCATTGAGGAGATTTTTGATGTTAAACCTTGGGATATATAATAAATAGGGAACAAATGCAATGTTCTCCCTCTGAACTCTAGCAGGATCTCCGAATTCATGGCCTTCTGTCATCCATATGTCTCTTCAACTGCACTAATTCCTTACATAAGATAACACCCCAGGGATGATTTTTATATGACAAATGCTTATTCATTAGGAAAGAAATCCAGGCTACCACATTACTTCATGAGGACACAGTAYATAGGCCATTATATTGACTGTATCCAGACAATGATGACAGTGAAGTTCCCTTTATTTTCTTATGTGGAATCTGATCATTTATTTAATTTCCTTTTGATTGTTCTGAAGAATGCTGTCATCTTCAAACTCCAATAGAAGCACTTGCAGTCTAAGAGACCATTTGGCATTTACTTACAAATAAATACAAACAATACTTTGTCAACATATAAAGTGAAGTTCATTTGAAGTATTTTAGATTACAGGAAGAAAAGTTGCATTGAAAAGTCATTACTAGTTTGTAAATGATTTAATCTTAAAATTTTGTACCCAGTAAGTCACAGTCTGGCACGCTGTCTGCAATTACTCACCAGCAGTCTTTGACAATGCAGTCACCTTCTGTTTAGAAGAGTATTAGGTAATGGTTCTTTTATGTGGCTCATACTACTACAAGAAAATGCAATACAAAGGACTAGCTCTTTGAATTTGATTTGCATGGGAATACCTGAAATTTGTACATTGGTAAATGTTTCAAAAATAATAATTTGAATAAACACTTATAGCTGCAGACTAGTTTTTTCAATTACAAGAAGCCTTTCATGATATGTCTGACATAACACATAAAAGACATGCTCAATCMAGAACTTGTACAAAAATTCAAATTTTGGATGAAGGAAAAGTAAGAGGCGGGTATAGATATCACACAAAATAAATGTATGAAATGACAGAATTTCATATTTAAGCAAAACACAAAAGAAAAGTACATGTATCCAGATGATCTCAGCATGAAGAATACAGAAATTGTACAGCATTGCCAACCAGATCGTGTCAGGAGTGTTAGACAAAATCAAAATGACACAGCAACATTTCATCCTTAGATGGGCAGAACACTGCAAGCTTTTCACCAATCTACTTCTTGGCTTGAGACCAATCTACTTCCAAGACACATAAAAACTGCACAGAAGTTCAGAGTGTGTCAGCAGRTTTTAAATAAAAAAGTATGTTCACTTTCAGTTTTCCCCTCATACCTATTTTAATGAGAACTGTGATTAATGCTTCAGAACAGTTAAACAGTCTTAGCTCAACAATGTTCAGGACGCCAGWTCAGGAAAGCACCTAACTCTTTGTGTTAACTTTTCTGACTCACAATGGAGGTTTATGTGTAGGTTATAAGGGGAATACGTACAAAACAAGACTCAATTATGTAAAAAACTTTCAGTTGCAGAGAAAATTCACCCTAGAATGCATTTATGACCTCAAATCTGCTTCAGTGATGTGCTGATTTTTTGGATAAAACCCCTTTGCAATAAGAAGAAAGCTGCTTGCAACTTGCTTTGCTAGTTGGGAAAGATCTGCTGAAATCATACAATCATCACRCTCCCAAATTAAAGGATTTGAATCAGAAGGAAACTCTGCATGSAATACTTTGCTGGAATATAATCTGTAACTATATTAAGGTAATCTCAGCCACACGATGATGTAATACAGAGTGAACAGAGACTGAATTTCTCATATGTAATTTATTCCTGATAGAATAAAACAGAAACCTTCATCACAGTTTTCAGTGATAAAATGTTCCTTTCAGAGCTTTTTAAATGTCCYTAGGAGCCTTTTAAACAAACCTCCCCCTCATTTTTGCTAAAGATTTTGATTTGTATTAATTTGCTTCACATTTATTATTGTCTGAAATGATAATCTGGTCCATGATAACACTTGGGGTTCAGGAAATCAAATATTTACCTAACATCAAACTTCAGCTTTACTAATTTCTTTGTATTTCATCTAACAATGTCTGCATTTGCATCTCAGAAAATGACTAACTTTATTATCAGGTGGAAAGCTTTCTTTATTTTGTCCCTCCTGTCCTGTATACATAAGAGATGCTAAAAACTGCCTTCTCTCCCATGTTTCACTTTAGTGGCTGCAATGAGCTATTCCTGAATTCAGAAAGTTCTTTAGGTTTTCAATCTTTACTGAAAAAACAGCTCTCTAACACACATAGGTTTGACATTGCCAATAACTTCCCAAATTGTACAGATCTGACTTAGGCAACTCGTTAGAATGATTATGGAATTAGGAAACAACAAACATCACTTTCTTTTACTTTCCAGTAAAATTTTAAAATGCACTCAAAGCTGTTTGCCACAGTGAAAAAAAATAGTTATGAATCATACCTAGTGCACAAGTTTTGAAGAAAAAAGGAAGAGGAGAAGCTAAACCCTAGACTTTCATGAGATCAGGATTTGGATTTGGGTGTAGGGGTGTAGTTTGGGGTGTTTATTTTAAGCAGTATTTCTTCACTAGTAGTTCTTCTTCATCCTTTGTTATGTTTTTCAAATTTGTCAATACAGCTTTGGCAACAAAGTGGCAAAAAATGAATCCTACAGCATACAATGTCTGTGCTAGCATGGTACAAGACAAACCCTCTTCTGTTGTATAAGGCTACACCAGCACAGTTAGATATTGTCTTGGCCTGTTCTGTTATTATCACAATACATCACATACTCTTGCCTCCTTTTTCATTCTCAATTTCTCCTTTTTTAATATTTTAACTTACAGTTACTTCAATCAGTTTGCTGTCAGGAATTTCTCCCTGAAGCTACACTTCAGTTTACTTTCCCTCTCCCGAGGGACTTTGTGATTTACTTTCTATTAATGGCAATAGCAAAACTTKTTCTACACATTCTCTGCAAAGAAGCTGACTTACTGTTTTGACCTTCCCTTCTCATCAATGAATGGAAGTATTATACACATTTAACAGGGTTCACAAATGAATATCAGCAAAGAGTACAAATACCAGTGGAAYAGCAAATTCCCTGCTCCACAAAACTCCCTGAACACTGCTCCTGTGTTAAGTACTCAAACATGTACTTTGTCTCAAGTGAATTTCCTCATAGCAGTGATTTTCTCCTTTTAATCTCTTCATGGAACTTCACCAAACACGAACCTTGTACACCAACAGAACAGGAATGAACACTTCCACCTTTGATAGCCTTGTTACTCTGTTACTCAGTCTTTACAAGAGCAACAAACTTGAGAGTCTTTACAAGAACAAAGGCGACTTCCCTTGAGTGGCTCAGCCACTTGCTCTTGTTAGGAACATGAATCAATTTGCTCCCCAAGTTTCTCACCAGTCAAAACACATTCTGAAATGCATATTTAAGTGGTATGAGTTTTACCACTTTCTAGTAAAAACAAGTGTACAATTGTTTCTAACATATTAACTAGCAGTAAAACCAGAACAAGTTCCAGTTTTATTTTCAACTATTATGGGTATCAGAGGGGGACCCAACATGTGTATCTAAGGAGTTGTAATCTTTAGCACTGGAAGGGAAATAAAATCCATTAAAAGTCTCAAATCAATTTTATTAAGATGTTACTCTGCCAGTCTGTGGCTTGCTTCATGTACCCATGTGTTTTCTTAGTTGTTTCTGAGAGGATGACAGCACTGCCCTGCTGCAACACTTACCTGTCATTTTTATAGTCAGCATAACTGCACAACATGGAAAAAGGAAGAGAACAACCTATTGTTTATGCTCACAATATTTGAGATTCTAAACTGAATCACTAAAAGGAAAGTAGAAAATAGCTCTCTAAATCAAAGAACAGTGAAGCACAGAAACAGGCTATTTTGCAGTGCTGTGAACCTTCTGTTAGCAGAGATCCTTTAGAAATCAGAAAAGCAATGAGAAGGATTTGCCTAAATAGAGCTGAACCCACAATGACACACGACAGTGGATTAGCAAGTGTTGTTAAGTTTCATTCTTCTATGATTCAGTTGGCACAACTGTGAAGAAAGTACAGGTTAATTTGTACCCTGTGGCATGCCTACACAACTCTCAAGCATTCTAAAAGCCTATCCATCCATTTAATTTTGCACTGAATTCAGGCATTTATTAAAGATGACTAAGGATAGGTTTTCAACAGAGYTCTTACTAAGGCTGAAAAGATCAGAACCTGATTAACTATAATTATTTTCTTACCAAAGTCATTATCTTACATGTGATGGCAATATGACTGAATAACTTTTGTGTTTACTGTTGTGACTCTTATTTACTCCTAATCCTCACTATCATTGGCTAAGCCTGCCATTTACTATACTGAGAATTTGCCCCTTTTCAGATTCTTTAGATACCATCAAATGCTGGCAAAYAAAGTAAGGAATAAAGGATCCTACYCTTGGTTAAAATTAGCAYTGTACCTCCTATTGAGAGACTTATGAAGGAAATAGGAAGACTGATMTGTTAATGTGTCTTTTAGTTCCTGATGTGTAAATTAGAGCAGTAGAGATTAAAAAGAAAAACACATGGTCAGTTCAGATAAAAAAAAAAATCCCACAAACAAGAGGAGGGAACAGTTTCCCCAAAGTATAAATGCAATTCAAATTTACACTGATATACTGAAAATTAATKAAATGTTGCAGGTATTATGGGGAAGATGGACTAAGAGCACTGCTTTGAGCCCAGYATCTCAGGCACAATTTAGATAAACCACAAAGCCACGTAATGGGAGGTACAGAAAGAGAAATCTCTTTAAAAAAATTTAAATTGCAGTGACAAACAGCAAAATAAATCCATGAATTTACTCTGTGAGAACATGGCAATATCTCTAAATGGAAGGGGATGTTGTCCTAATAAAGACAGAAGATATACAAGATAGGATGAGTTGCAGCAAAAGGCTTAGAAGCCAAAAACTTAAAATGCCAAGACTGTAGGTGAAATAGTTTGCTCAACACTTTATCAATTTATTTTTGGATGGTTTTATCTTCACATATTTACAGACTCCTCACTCTGGGATGTCAAAGCCAAGATATCTCCCCCCATCCCATTCTCACACACACTGAGAGAGATGGAAATGCTAATATTTACAAGAAGCACAGAGCTTTCATGTTACTTCCACCATGGTTCAGTAGCTATGTAAGAAGTCTAGCAATAAACAAAAAAGTGGTTGTGTGTCTCATGTTATTGTTACAGTACAAGGGGTCAGGAATCATGCATGTGTTTTTTGGCATTTAGTCAAATCTACAGGGCTGTTATGAAAAGTTTATTTTCACTGGCTGCTTACATGAGTGACTACAGGTGGCAGAGACCAACATGCTTGGATCAGCACTTCTGTGCTGCATAAAAGGTGACCTGTAAAAGCAGGAAAGTAGTGCTAAATTAAGAACAAAACAAGAACAAAAAGACTGCCTTTCACYGAAGTGTAGTTGACTAAAGTGAGCCCTATCGAAATGCTCCAAGAGTAAGAGGGCCATTTCTTTCAAGAACTTCTAACATATTCTTGAATAAGGTTGTTGAAATCTTTGACCATTTTTACCTACGTAGGGTTATTTCACAGTGCACTATCACTATGGAAGCAATTTAAAAAACCCAAAACAACAGAACAACCACGACAAGAAAATAAAAAGCAAAATACCACCACCTGAAAAACCAACTTAGTTTTAAATAGAATAATAAATTATTGTCCYACATTTTAAACTGTGGTTTGTTTAGCCAATTTAGCAATGAATTCAGGCATTTATAAAGAAAAAAACATACCCAGTTTTTAAGAAAGGATACCATCAAAGCTCCAAGTGTCAAAATTTGACTAAATTTGTAACACTTTTTTATCTCCAAAGTCAACATAAACCTACTTACAGGATTATTTGCAAAGAGTGCTTTAGCCAGGAAAACCAGTAAGAGTAACTCAACAAGAATGTCTGGCTAAGAACTAAGTACCACTATCAAAACCTGCGGATGATATAATTATTTTTTGAGTAATTATGTACTGCTGTTAGTCATCCTTCCTTCCTCCTTCAAGGGGAAATAAAGATTAATTAGAAGTCTACTTCCTTCAAAAGACTTGTATTAAAAAAAAGCAACTCATGAAACTGTCAGGAAGTAGGAATGGGTAGATAAGCCATGTCACAAAATTAATATGGATGTTTTAAAARTAAGATTTCATTTCCATCCAGTAAACTAAGTAATTTAATTCTTTAGAAGTWGATTCACAGAGCAGCTGTCAAAAGCAAAGCTGCACCAGCATTCTTCTTGACAAAGAAGAGAGGAGTGGCACTGTACAACTTGGACTCCATGCTCMGCTTTAGAGTTCTGCCCTACATGCAACCACTTGTGGATTTCAGAGCCATCAAAGCAAACAATGCAGGCTGTAATTGCTTTCAGAGAAAATGCTCTTACTGTCTCCCACTATCCTGAGCCCTGTGGAAAGTCTGAATGGSTCAAGAAGGGGAATCATCCCCCGCAACAGCAGGTGCTGGGCTTATAATTTTCCGTGTCTGAGAGCCCACTGCTGCTCTCGTCTCTTCCCACTCGCTCACCTTTGCACAGTGCTCAGATCTTGCCTTCTTATTCCACAGCTTGGAGCTGTCAGCAGCTGCCCACCTTCCTACTCTCCTAACACCTCACTCGCCCTCATCCAACAATATCTGACATTCATCCTCAGCCTGTAATTTCTAGTCTTCTATTCCATATAAAACCATAACCTTCTATCTTGTTACAATAGTAATTTTGTTTTCTTTCCAGTCATTAAAACTCCCACCTACTACAAAACAGTCACTCAACCCAGTTCTCCTTAACTCTTTAAAGGAGCATTTCATTCCCTGTAAATACCTTCATACAGAATTGAATGCACTATGAATTCATAGCACTATCTCACCATGGGTTCCCCTGATATAAATGTCTTCTTTTCCCCTTTACCTCACAAAGACTGCCTCTCTCAACTCCATGCTACCAGCAGTTACAAATCCATTGTCTGCACCCAATCTCTTACCTTAAGCTCCATCTTCTTGTACTAAATGGATATTCCAAACTTTTTCAAAGAGAAATCTAAAATATCTGACAGGACTTAGTTATATGACATGCTAAGCAAGTAACCATACTTTCCATAATCTCCAGTACAACAATCTCCTGTACAACAATCTCCTCCTTTCTTTCCTCAGAAAAATTTCAGGCTACACTGTTCTCTTTTTCCACTGGACATTACAGTTTGGTAGCACACACACTAGCAGACACACTAACTTGGCCTCATATTTTCTTTTGATCAAAAATCACCGAATGGTTTGGGTTGGAAGAAACTGAAGATCATTTGTTTCTCAACTCCCTGTCACGGGCAGGAAGTCCTTCCACTAGACCAGATTCCTCAGGGCCCCATCCAACCCAGTCTTGAACACTTCCAGGGATGCACATCCCCAGCTTCTCTGGGCAATCTGTTCCAGCATCTCACCATCCTYGAAGCAAAGAATTTCTTTGTAATATCTAATCTAAACCTGCAGACTTTCAGTCTAAAGCCCTTCCACCTTATCCAAAAATTACATGGCCTTGTTAAAAGTCCCTCCCCAGCTTYCTTGTAGGCTTCTTTAGGTATTGGAAAGTGCTGTAAGATCTCCCCAAAGCCTTCTTTTCTCCAGGCTGAATATTATAAAGCTGCRGAATGCCTTTACTCTGAAGAATTCCTAACCTGTAAGAAACAATGCCAGAAAATGGGCAATTATTTGCACAGTCCCATCTAAGACAATAAATGTCACCTTTATGCAGAGAGACCTTACAGGGTCTCTAAGCTTCGTTTTTCACTGCATCACTGATCAATCATCAAAACCAGTGCAGAAAAGGCACAAAGTTCTTTTGGAAGAACACTTAATCTTGTGCAACCACAAGTGACACATTTTTTCCACTACCAAATTTCTTATGCATCCACATGAATCCCCTYCTGTACTTTGGACAAAGTAATTCAGGGCTGCCTTATTTTGCTTCTTGCATAAATATTGGAATGAACCATGAGGATGTGCGCTTGTAGTCTCTGTCAGGTGGGGAAACAGAGCTCTTAAGAGTGACAAAATAAGTACAGTTATTTCTGATTTATATGTGAGGAATGCAAACACACAGAGACGGGGACTTCCAAAGAATCTACGGGATAAAACACTCAGTGCATGCCAACTTCCTTACTCTGCTTATGACTTGGAAAATAAACCTTCATATTTTGCAGTCTGACTATTTCTAATTTTGAAGGTTACAGAGGAAGAAAAAAGCCTAGTAGCACGCTGGATCTGTACATAGAGCATCTCCCACCTCACCCTACAGCAAGGCACCTGCACTTCTCCAGCTGCTTCCAAGCCAGCAGGTATAACACAGGAAAGACAGATCAAAGAGAGTACACTGACAGTCATCCAAAATAATGCATTCTGCAGCCAGGGAAAGGGAAGAGCCAGAAAGGGAAAGCAAGCACAGGCCTTCACAGAGCAACATGGTGCTGGACCAAGAAAACACATCAGGCTGAATGATAGTGGCTTGATCACACAAGATTCTGATGGTATGACTCAGCKGGACATAAATTTATAAGATCCCACATTAAGAGTTTTTTCCCCAACCTGAAATACTTTGTGGTCTAGAAATAAGACAGGGAGCCAAGGACTTGTGAATTCTCATTCYGTCTCTGCCACAGGCTATTTCATCACCCTCAGCTCCTGCACCTCAATATCCCACTATCTTTTTCAGCGAAGTACTGCAATAGTTACTGGATATTTGTGGAAAGGCAAATAAAGATAGACACATATGAACTATGACAGCTGATACTTCATTTGTTATCAAGTGCTAACCTTTAGCGCACTGTAACATGCACATTTTTCCTGCATGAATTAATTTAACCTAAAATTATTAGAGCAGTAAGGAAAAGTTCATGATTATTTATATGCTACATCTCCATTCTCCAAAACGCACGTCATTTTTGGAAAATACACTTTTCCATCCTTGAAAAGGGCTTAAAGGAAATAGCAAAATTATGTACTTCTYAAAGTAAATCACTGCCCACTCTACTTTAAATAATGATTACAAATGAGTRTTGACAATAAAAACAATTTTACATGTGGCTTACAGTTAGCCACTTTCCTCACCTGATATGGGTTTAAAAAAGGATTGATTCCATATTGTTGAGGATTGGCTACTGAGAAGGCTATTCAGCACTTTCAAGCGCCTCATGAGTCTTCAGGATAAAGTAACTTCAAAGGAGATAATCTCTGAACCATTAAAAACCCTTTAGAATAAACACATTATAAGTAAATCTCTTACCTATGAGTATCCTATTCTTTGCAATGCCGTTCTTAATCTCATCGTTGATCAGGTCTGTAAGGCCCTGGCACATGGAATCAATGCTTTCAATGTGTTCAGGACAATCATTGCAGATCTTATACCTGTCAAACCACACATTGGAAAAGGCTCCTTTCATAGGTGTATATGGCCTGGAGTGGTGGAAGGAAAGAAAACAAATGATTAAGCAAGTGTAAGATCAAAAGCCTTGAGCATACAAAATGAATAAAAAAAAATCAGTATCTCTCCAGCAAAGAAGAGAATAAGCCCCTTTGAGGTCTAACTCCATTTCCATCCAGTCACATTACATCTCCCTGCATTCAAATCATGATCCTTTTAAGAATGAAATCAACATTTGGAAGCGATGTAAAATGCAATTTTCAGTCAGTTCCATGTTAAGGTTGGTTAGGTCASCTAAACATTTTAAATCTTAAGCCTRTTGAGAGATTCTTAATCCTAAACAAAGTCAGGGCTGAAATCCATGCTGGAATATGACAAACTTAAGTAAYTTCTAAACAAGACAGCTTTGCAGGAGCTAACTTTAAATTCAGTTGCCTAATTCTTGACAAAATTGACAGGGGATGGGTATTATAAACCTCTAGGTATTAAAAATGTCTGCCAATTTTTCTTTTTTTCAAATAAATACAGCCATCCTCATCTGAATGGGGCAGATATCTCACAAAAAGAACTGAAAGGAAATACCACGTGCTTACTGGACTGGTGCACAACAAGAAACACGGTACTCCCCACCATAATCCTGTGCTGTCAGAATATTACTTTAAGTGCTTCAACAGGCAGCCCAAACCTTTCATAATCAAGAAACATTCAATTCAAAAAAGCCTTTTCTTTGTTTTTAAATAAAGATGATTAATAGAGCCCTGAAATCCCAAGAGAGGTGATCTAATTGCCTTTCAATGGCTCTACAATATATTACAAAAYATACAGCTATGAGATTGATCATCTCAAACAAAGCCCCTTGAAACCCTTATTTGCTATGTTCAACCAGGGCAAATTCTTCATTTTTACTGAAGCTTGGATCAGATTACAATCATCRTCCACAAAAAGACAGCTTTTGATACATTAATGGATGAGAACATACTGAAAATGCTAAAATTGACATCTGTCCTGTCTCTGGAAATTTTTCAATACTAGGATTAAACAAAATCATGACTAACTTAAAATGAGAAAGCCACGAATTCAGTTACTCTTAACGAAGGACAAATTCTGCCTTTACTGACACCAGAAAGGCTTCACATATGTAAACRTAAGGTACTGCCACTAGGATGAGTGTTCAAGGTAATACTATTTGCCCTATTCAGTCATAAAAGTAAAAAATGAGAGGACATCGGATTCTTCTGCCTGTTGTCATGAACATGAAAAAAAAAAAGTCCATGACTTAAAAGTTGGTAAGAAAAATATACTGAAAGAGGCAACAAATGGCAACAGGCAGGTACAGACACACTACAGGCTTATCGTTTTCAGAAGAGTTCCAGGTACCTAAAAGGTACCATCATTGAAAGTGTCATACAATATATGGTCGAGTGCCTTACATAGCCCCTCATTTCCTTAATTCAGAACAAAATGTATACTTAAGCACCAGAATTTTAAAATTTGAGCTATTTTTTTAAGGTAGCCTTTACCTGTCTATTAAAAAGTTAACTCCTAATTTCACTGAAATTCAATGGATATATCTTGTATACCCAGCAACCTAAAGCTTCATYAAAAAACTGTTATGAAAAAGCTTTTGACCTTTTTATTGTTTTCTTTTTAGAATCCTGTCTCCATGATTCTTCCCAAATGAACTGAAGAACACCTAAGAAATAAGATTATAAATATCTAATTCTCAAAAGTCAATTTCTAAGCGTAGACATTCCASTCAAACCTATCAAAAGCAGAATCAGTGGTGTTTCTCGAAGTCATTTGGACAAAGTGATTTACAATAGAGTAAATGCCTGGGCAAACAGCATTTAATCCATGATTTTAGCTTCCCTAAAATACTTTTATATCAATCCTGATTAAAATGCTTAGCAGCCAGAGTGCCTAATTTTCTAGTACCTAACATTTGTGTAAGAAAATATGTGAAACGTTTTAGTATTATTACAGTAGGTTTTAGTATTATTACAGTAGAACCCAGGATTTCTATGGAACAAAGATACATACATATACCACATCACAGCAGTTTACTTTTACATTACATAACTATTAAAACAGATTTCCCCTCAACTGACAAAATCATGCCATTTATAAACAGGTCAAAATACATTATGAGATTATAATACTGGACCAGACATTGAAACCTGGGACTTCTACCTSCTCTCTTTGCAAACTCTTCATAAGACAGATAAAAGATCAATGTGATTTAAACCCACATGAAAAGACCCCCAAGCAAACAGACAAGTGGCCTCCAGCTGCCTCAAAAACATCCTTGCAAGCACTCTTGATTTCCCAGAAATGCATTAAAAATAACCTTTACATAAAGCTGAGAAGTAAGATTCTTTTAATGGTTCACCCAACTGGCACATCTGTTTTAGTCATTCACCTTTTTCCTTAAATAATCCCCTTATTAGCTGGCACACTACAACTCAGACATTACCACGGTAAACAAATATGTTTGGCATGGAACCATCTGCACAGTTCCAAGAATACAGCACCAAATTTTTTCATACAATTAAACCACAAAAAAAAAAAAAAAAATCCCTATGTTACAGTGACATGAGAAGCTGGACTAAAATATGCAAAAGCAAAAAAAATACAGAGAGGAGTGGAAATTCCATCCAACAAAATAACATGGTCAGTTAAGGACAATGTCAGACCAAATAATCAGCTTCAAGTTTGGATTTTTTTTCTTTCTTAAGTTTAATCAAAACTCATACCATTAGTCCATTTGTGCCTCACTTTCTTTATTCTCTTTTTAAAATGATAATAGAAAAAATGGTCTGTGTGTCTAATACTGTGTGCTGTTGAAACTGGGAATGAAAATACATAGTCCCCCAAGTTGTGTGGGCATTCTTTCTTATTGAGTTTTAAAGGGTATGCGTGCTTATGTTTTGTTTGTTCTGGAGCACATAAAAGATTCAAGCCCATATACCAAAACAAGAATCAAGAACTCTCTCTGGGTAGAYCCAGCTTCCAAACTTGTATCCATTTTTAAGAGACAATTGAAACAAAGTTTAATTTGTGCAAACTTCTCTCCTAAAAGCTCGGAGAACCGACAGCAAAGGAGACTTGGCTAATATCAAACATCATTTAAGAAACTGCAGGCATTAGGAGGATTATAATCCTTAAAATGCTTCTCAACATCCCCCAAATCACTCTAAATCATGTTTTAKGATTATTTTATAGCTCCTGTTTGTCATTGTAGATCAATACCTCTCTTGTATGAGAATGCAGTCTCAAGAAGATCCTACACAATACTTCAATATCTTAAAAGGAAAATACACCCTGTAAWATCTTTGCAAGCACTTATCATCCATTCAGTCTTTTAAAAATGTGCACGCAGAAGTAATTTTCACTGTTGATTTCACTGTGAAGTTTCAAAGCAATACACATCATTGCAGACTTTAGAAACTCAAGAYAGATTAGCTTCTGCTAACCTGAGTTCTGTAGTAATGAAGAAAATATGGTGAAAGTAGGTAGCAGTAACACCATCTATTTCCACCTTTCTGAAGCACGAATTATAGCCTCTAGACCCTCTTAATCATGTTTAGAATTGTGCTACCAAGGCTGAAATTAYCTTAACAGAAGTAGAGAGCAACCAAATAATGCTACACAAGGCTCAAATTCAGATCTCAAACCACAGTAAATTCCATCTCCAAAATTATGTTATTAGCATAGTGATTCACATAAAAYGACAGGTGGTTTTGTTCTTTATCCAATCAATCACTGTCCCTATTCAGCATTTTAAGTTAGAAGACAAGTCAGGAGTTCTAGCTGCTTTAAATAAGGGTAGAAGAGATCACATTGATAAATGGCAAACATTCTTCCCAACCCTTTCTCCTGATGCACAATTATATCCCTGCCTTCATGCTCAAGACTATGATTACYCTGCATTAACAGTCACCAGTCACTCAGATCACTGGTCAGATCCAGACAGAACTTCCTGAAATGTCAGACAAAACTGGAAATTTATAGTGAAGTTGGGCTTCAAGATTGAAATAAASACAAAGAAACATTAAAAATTACCAAAGTCCTCAATTCTTCTTCCTTCCCAAACCCATCTCCTCTGAGTTAGGAGGCACAGAACCCCAAATGCTAATGTTTTTTGGAAGACTGTGCACCTCTTCAAGACACTACCACAGTAGTTCTACTTTRCTCTGGTGAGACTCCACCTGGAGTACTATATCCAGTTCTGGAATCCTCAGAACAGGAAAGACATAGACCTATTGGAGCAGATCCAGAGGAGGGCTACAAAAATGATCAGAACATCCCTCCCACAAAGAAAGGCTGACAGAGCCAGGTTTGCTCAGCCTGGAGGAGACAAGGCTCCAGGGAGACCTTATTGCAGTCTTCCAGTATTAAAGGGGACTACAAGAAAGATGGGAACAAACTTTTCAGTGGGGACCTGTTGCAATAGGACAACGGGGATGACTTACAACTTAAAATGAGTGTCAGATAAGATATAAAGAAGACATTTTTTATAGTAAGGGTGCTGAAACACTAGCACAGTTTGCACAGAGGTGGTAGGTGCCCCTGGAAACATTTAAGTTTGGATGGGATTCCAAGTAACTTGATCTAGTTGAAGACATCCCTGCTCATTGCAGGGGGCTTAAACTAGATGACCTTGAAAGGTCATTTCCAACCCMAAAATATTGAGTGATTCTAGAAGCAAGTCTTGACTCTATTAAAGCTGATGGCAGGGTTTTTGAACGAAAGCATAATTACTCCCTAATTCCAAATTCTTTCATAGCATAATGTTACCTCTGTATTTCAGTACCACATTTCAATAGAAAATTTAGTTCAAAACTCTGCTTTTTAATTCCCACTGTCTGCTTGAAGCACAAAGCAAATTCAAAAATAAATGGGGAGGAAAGCAGAGAATCCACCAGGTCAAGAAGTATAAATCAAGACTCTAGTCCAAGGTATTTCTTATGTTAAAACTGAGGGTCAATATATCTTAACAATGAAGCTTTGTGGTATGGTAACAGAGCATATG